CCCAACATCCACACCCTTCCCAACATAACACCTCCCCCAACATCACACCCTCCCCCAACATCACACCTCCCCAACATCACACCCTCCCCAACATCCACACACCATCCCCCAACATCACACCCTCCCCCAACATCACACCTCCCCAATGTCCACACCATCCCCAACATCACACCCTCCCCCAACATCACACTCCCCCAACATCACCCTCCCCAACATCACACCCTCCCACACACACTCCAACACCACTCCACGCCCCCCAACAAGGGAATTGACAGCAAGCATATGGTGAGGTCTTGTGTATAAATTTGTGTATGTGTGTGACTGCATGGACAAGTATCAGCTGAGAGCACTTGGTATCACTCATTTCCACTCCATCTCTCTAAGTACCCACACCTTTCTGTTTTCTCACTCCATATTTTAACATTTTATGTAATGTAATGTTGAAGGGATACAACTTTGTTCATTTATACTGATACTTATCACAATATCCCAAAAAATACTTTAGGTTTCATGTTAATTCAAGACATACTCAGGTCATGAGACCCACTAATCCACTACCTCCACCTGACATTGCATCAGGTCAGGTCAGTTACACGAGGCCCGGTTAATCCTCACAGCTCCATGGGAGTGGAAAATAAGTCTTTGCTCTAACAGTTTCATTAATGCCCATATCATATAGATTTTTAATTTTTAAATATATTTATTTAACCAAACTTGTAGATAAATTATTCTCGATAATTATAGTAAAGAAATGGAAATTTTAACTTAATTAGAACTGCATTTATGGACTCCGGTAGTTTTAGACTTAAGGAAAACATCCAACACCAAAATGTTCTGGGGAAGTGGGCTAGTGTCCGTCTGTGCAAGATGTTTAGTTTAGACACTCGGAAACTTTTCCAATAACTGGAAAAGATTCCAGGGATAAGGATTTTCAGGTTTGGGAAATTTGTCTGGTTAGCCGGCAATCTCTCATCTCTGGAAGAGCTCTGCACCAATTGTTCCGGCTAACTGGGATATCACTGTAATAAATAACTAAATTTATATGGGGAGGTTATGTTTAGTACCTTATGCGCTTGGTGCCTCATACAGTCGGCCCTTAACATATGGGTTACGTAACAGAGATAACCGTGGATGTTAAAATCGCATATATGTGCTCCCGTGTCTTATTTACCGTATATACCTGTGTATAGTTCAGTTTTAAGACCAAATTATTTTGCAAAAAATTGAGTGGACCTCTAAAAGGGTAATAGTTTTAGTTAGGTTGAAAAATATTTACCAGTAACTACCAGTAAACAATGGAAAACTCACCAACGCACCACCAGCTGAGTTAATGGGTGCAGTCGCCAGGGCAGATCTCTTCGTCATCATAGCTAGCCCAATGTAGCCAAATCCATGGTATGGTATACACAGGACGATGTAAAACAAAGTATTCATTTGTTAAAAGTTATTTATAGATACTGTACATAAATTTTTGTTCATTACACTTGAAACATCAATCTTTGTTAATTAAATTTGATACAAAAGAAAACTATGATACCGTATTTTCATTAAAATATTACATCACAAGTATATTTTACCTTAACTGTGACTGAATGAATATACAGTGACCCCTCCGTTAACGAACTCAATCCGTTCCAGAAGGTCGTTCGTTAACCAAAAAGTTCGTTAACCGAAACCATTGTTTCAATGGGTTTTTGGGTAGTGGTTCCAGCTCACCGAAAATTTCTAAATTCAACAAAAATGGTAGAAAAGTTCACTTACTTTGAGGGTGTGTATGTAGAAGGCTCCTGGATGATGATGATGATGATGGGATTTAGAATGGGGTGAGGAGGAAGAAGAAGGCATTGGGGGTGGAAGAGAATCACCCATGGCGCCATTTCACCCATAAAATTTTAGCTCTCTGGTGTAATTCAAGATTATTTTCTTTAAATCAACACTGCACTGCATTATATATTGTCAATATGTAAAATATATTTCAAAATGACCAATAATTTGCTTGGAAATACAGAAAAAAAGCGTTTAGTTGAAGAGTCTCAAGCAAATGTTACCTCCAGTGAAAACAGAGAAGACTAACTCCTGTTTGCTGTGTTAAGAAGCTGGATGCCATGCATTAAACTAGTCACTTTACCTATTATGTTCAATAATTGTTAAAATGACTAAAAATTGAATATTAAACTTTTAAAATTATTGAATAGTATAAACTTCTTGATATTTACTAAAATAGTGAGAATTTAAGCCCTAGAACCGATTAATGTATTGGCGGACTGATACTAAAGCTGGTTGCCGGTCAGTGCAATGTTGAGGTAGGTTAGTGAAACCGTTAACCCGAATTTTTTTTTTAGTTAACGAATTGAAGATCCTTATGGAAGGCAGTTAGTTAATCGAAATTACGTTAACCCGAGTGTTAGATTAGCGAGGTCACTGTATTCTCGAAATAAATATGGAATAATATTTTGGCTGAAGCCAGCGTGCATATCACTGTACGGTAGAGAATTAGATAAAAGTATGAAAACAATGACTTTGCTTTCTTTGGGTTGTTCAAAAAGGAATTTTGCAATAATACGCTTTTGAATGGTTTTTCAGTTAAAAACTGTTGTACTACTCATTGCTGTATTACAATAATATTCTATCCTATCATTGGCCTTATAATCCCACAAATGAAAATATTGCGGCGATTACATAACATCTTTTGAGCAGAAAGAAAGAAAAATCATTGCTTCGTCACAATTTTATCCACTTTCACTATGTCATTACATCATTTCAGCAAAAAATATTACATTTCTATGTTCTCAGAAATAAATGGTAGTTTGTTGAACGTAATGTACAGTATTTAATATTAAAATGCAAAATAAGCTATAAAAACAATTAATACCCGAAATATACTGGCTGGCATCTCACTGGTGTCCCTCACTCCTCGTCCAGGTCATCTCACCACTCTCCCAACTGCTCCCTCTGCTTTGTCACTGCTGCGACAACAAAGCACAATTGTTTTGTGAGATAACTGCACCTCCACTTCCTGTCTTGTGCCTTTGAACTGTACTGTGCTGTGCACAAACAACCAAACATGGCAAAAAAGCTGTAAAAAAAAGTAAAATTTCTTTACTGCATTACCTCTCCCTGGCGACAGGCGGGGAATTGTCAGCTCCATCGTCCTCAATTCCATAACAGAGTGGTGAAGTGGGGCTGTGAATTCAGCTGCTTCCTCCCTGCACTTATTGATTGATAGTCGTCTCTCTCTTGATGATCAAGAAACATGGTGATGAGGGGTTGTGCGTCTCTTTCTTTCATTTCTTTGTATGGGTAATATCATCATCCTGTATGAATTTCAGAGCCACGCACCATGGGGGTCCATACTGCAAACAGGTTTTTCACTACCTCATGTTCTCAGTCATCTCCCCCAACTTCTCAACGTTATTTCTTGGTACTCTTCTCATCCTCTTTCCTTTAGCCTCTTGCCCCTGAGTCTACTAACTCCTGCCGTCCTCCTCGGTCAGCTCAGTGTCGTGCTCTTCATTAGCTCCCTAATCTGGAAGTCACTGCCATGTCCGAAGCCTTCCAGCAGCCACTTTCCTTGACAGTGTCAGGGTCTTTCTGAATATTTTTCATTAAATCCATCAAAATCATTTTCCTTGTGTGTCATTGTCTTAAGCACCAAACAGCTCCTTATTCCTCCTTGAACAGAGCTGGAATACGTGATTTGCAGTGTTTTCAATTAAAAATGTTACAGCACATGTATATTTTACCCTGACTGTGCCTGAATAATTTATTCTCAGGAAATAAATAGTAGTTTTGCTGAAACATGATGTATTTCCAGTATAAGTAGGATAAAATACATAAGCGAAAACAAAAGACTTTACCTAACCTTCAATGTTCAAGAGATGTTACTCGTTTTTTAGTTTTCGGTTGTCAGTTTATATTACAATAATATATTCATACTGTGCTTGATATATATTTATTCACGGAAATATATGTTTTTTTGCTGAAATAGCGTCGTATTACAGTGGAATGTGGCCCGAAAACAATGACTTCCGCTTTCTTTAGTTCAAAGATGTTGCATGTCCTTTTTTAGGAATAGTTTTTCAGTTAAAACTGTTTACTCACAAGTGAATTAGGATAGGAGCTGTGGTAGCGGCAGCAGTTTTTAACTGAAAACCAATTCAGCATTAAATGTTTTATCTTTTGGCAGGCAGAAAAGCAGTCATTGCTTTATCACTTTCACTGTCACGTCGTCATTTTTTCAGCAAAATATTACATTCCATATTCTCAGAAATAAATAGTAGTTTTTGCTGAAGCGTAGTATTTCAGTAAATTATGATAAACACATGAAACAAAGACTTTTACCTAGCCTTCGATGTTCAGGATATGTTACTGGTTTTTGAAGATTTTCCTTTAAACTCTCTTATATTAGTAATATTCTATTCACTTACATACTTGATATAATACATTCATGCGATATAATATTTTTAACTACAATGCTGATGTCGCCTGGCGTAATTTAGCGAAGACTGACTGACTGAGAGAAACTGCTCACGTATGCGTGAGGTTGCAGGCGGCAGTGTCCCGTATTTGAGTACTGCCCTTGATTGAATAGCCTTGTTGAATGTACTTCAGTTACTTCAATGTACAGAATATTCCTCCGGCGGGGCAATCCGCGTATTTGCAGCACCGCGCATTATAAACCCGCGTATGTTAAGGGCCGACTGTAGTATAAAGGAAAAATTTAAAACGGAATGCACACATGACATTTATTGCACATTAAAATACAAATTTAAGGGTCATTGGGGACTAATGAGTGGCTGCTAGGTTGCACATTAGCCCCCAGAACCCCCACTTGTTAAAGTCTGGACCCCCTTTCCCCCAATATTTTGACTTTCGAGGGTTTACGATAGTTCATTCATCTTTGTGTAGCATGTTTTCCTAATATATATATTTTTTTAAATATTTTCCCCCGTACATAATTATGCTAGTTATTTATAATTTTCATTATTTTTTTTCAACAGCTGATGACACCGAGATAACTTTTGACCCAGCAGAAATTATCACCAACATAGATCAAATCGATGAGGGTTGGTGGCAGGGTGTGGGTCCTGATGGTATGTTTGGCCTCTTCCCAGCAAATTATGTTGAACTTATCAACCAGTCACCAGTCTGAACTACACCAACAAGTGACACAGACTTGCTGTGTTGAGGTTCCTGTATGGGCGGTGAACTCAAAACATTATTTTCTCTAAAACACTTAACAGCAAAAAATAATTGATACAATTTTTAACTGGTGTATACAGTACTGTACTTTTAAAACCCTATTTGCCTTTAGTATTAATCACATAACATTTTCCATTGTCACATTAACAAAATGAGTTATTTGATAATATACTGTACCTCCACATGTACTGAACTACTATTATGTACAAAATACAGATACTATATATGCATAACAAATCATAATGAACTTAATGCCTGAATTAAACCATTTTTGGCAATGTTCAGAGCTCATTTATACATATATTCCCTGTGCAGTAAGGTAATAAGTAATATCTCTGTTAGCCAGAACTGTCCAATCCATGTACAGTACCTGGAGATGAAATTGACTAAGAAATTTTCCAGACAAATTCTGTCAATTCCGGTTTGTGAACGAGTTTGATGTTCAAAATTAGGCGTATTTTCCTAGAAAATACTGGAAATTCCCAATACTTTTCATTGGGGAACATATTCCAAGGTTGAAATCAGGCCCATCTGCAAAATTCTTATAAAACTTCTGGAAACTTTCTTTCTCTGTTTTTGTTTTATTTTTGTTTTTTCTTTTGGGTTTGGCAGCAAATTCTGAGGATGAAATACTTGTACAGTAGTATTACCCGATTTACGCGGTCAATTGAACCCATGGGGTACCGCAGAAAGTGAAAACCCCGTAAAGTGAACAGCAGAACATATGGGATTAATTCCACAGAGACTGGCCTGACCCCCAAACTCCACTTTTTCAGACACAATACCCTCGTTGTAGTAAAAATTACATCTTAATTTTATGATGGTATGCACACACAATTAATAATTAAGAGAAATATCAATAATATTATTTTTTTTAACACTTACATTAGTAGAAAAGATGGCTGGGCACACGGGATGGGGGTTGGTTCAGGCAGAGGGCAGATTATTGGCCCTCACCTGTTTCACTTGTATCAATTGTATCACTATCCACCACATAGGCTTGCAAGGGCCTCTTTGTCAAACCCTCAAAGTCCATATAAGTCCATATCCTCACTATCACTGACTTGAGCGCCTGTGGTGGGTGGCGGGTGAAGCTTCGTAATGTTTTGATGACTGGGCAACCTTGTCGCATCCTGCCAGCCGCTTCAGCGTATATGAGTAGATGCACTGCGGAAAGTGAAAGTTCGGTTCTGGCGAGGCACCGCGTAAATGAGAAATCGTGAGAAAGTGAAACCGCATAAAGCGGGGTAATACTGTACAGTAATATGCAATTTCCGGAAAATTACAAGAAACTTTTTACCTTGAAATATTCTGGGATGTGGGATTTTCTTGGGTTTGAGAGAGTTGTCTCATTACCTGGAAATCACTCATCCCCAGAAGAGCTCTACACCAAAATTTAATTTTCTTAACAGGAATATCACACTACAGCAATTTTATTTGTTGATTAGTATTACTTGATTTAGCTTGATACCTCAGTAATATTAATCTTAGTAAATAAATTGTTCTTTTAGTTATTTTTGAAATTGGCAAATTGTAGGGTTTTAGATTTGGTTGTCATCTGGAGAAAATATGTACATATTTCAGTTTATATGGTTATCTAAATTTCTTTTTGTTAATTTTTGCTCATGCTTTACCTCACCAATGTCTTTGTATTCTATCACTTTTCCTGTCAAGGTTTAACAATTATTTTCCTGTTATATTAAGTAACTACTTATTTTTATTACCATGTGTCAAGAGAACCTGAAATTTTTATTTTCTCCTCCTACCTATTTCATCCTCATGCCAATTTTCCTGATTTTTGTAGTTGGTCTGCAAATGCCTGCTGTTTATTCCTAAAAAAAGTGGGGTTTAATATTGATCTTTGTAGCTGTGGATAATCAAACTTTGGTGAACTTGTGTAATTAAGCTGTTAGACTGGTTTCAAACTACTTACAGATACTTAACTTATATATATATATATATATATATATATATATATATATATATATATATATATATATATAATTGGTCTGTAAAATTTCCTAAATCTCCACAAAAATGGTAGAAGTTCACTTACTTTGAGGTGTGTATGTAGAAGGTCCTGGATGATGATGATGATGATGATGATGATGGAATTAGAATGGGGTGGAGGAGAAGGAAGAAGAGAAGAATAAGAGAAGTAACCCATGGCACCATTTCCACCCATAAAATTTTAGTTCTTTGGTGTATTTCAAGATTATTTTTAAATCAACACTGCACTGCATTATATATTGTCAATATGTAAAATTAATTTCAAATGACCAATAATTTGCTTGGAAACACAGAAAAAGCATTTAGTTGAAGAGAGTCTCAAGCAAGATGTTACCTCCAGTGAAAACAGAGAGAGACTAACGCCTGTTTGCTGTGTTAAGAGGCTGGACGCCGCGCATTAAACTAGTCACTTTACCTTCAATTATGTTCAATAATTGTTAAAATGACTAAAAAATTGAATATTAAACTTTTAAAATTATTGAATAGTATAAACTTCTTGATATTTACTAAAATAGTAAGGAATTTAAGCCCTATAACCGATTAATGTATTGGGGGACTGATACTAAAGCTGGTTGCCCGGTCAGTGCAAGCGAAAACATGTTGAGGTCGGTTCGTAAGAAATTCGTTAACCAAATTTTTGTTCGTTAACCGAATTGAAGATCCTTATGGAAGGCAGTTCGTTAACCGAGGTATTCGTTAAACGAGGGGTCACTGTAAATCACTGTAGGTGCGCGTGATCCAGGTATATGCTGATAACCACAAGGAAAAAGAAAACATGAAGTTCCCAAGCGCTTTCGTGTAATTCACATCTTCAGAGGTGAGTACAGACTCCTGAAGATGTGAATTACATGAAAGCGCTTGGGAACTTCGTGTTTTCTTTTTCCTTGTGGTTATCAGCATATATATATATATATATATATATATATATATATATATATATATATACATATATATATATATATATATATAGTCATGTCACTTTGGGAACTCTCGTAGTTTCTTTCCTTATATATATACATATATGCACTACATATATATGTATATATATATATATATATATATATATATATATACATACATATATACTGTATATATGTATATATATTACATACACACATACATATATATATATATATATATATATATATACATATATACATATATATATATACTGTATATATATATATATATATATATATATATATATATATATATATATATATATATATATATATATATATATATATATATATATATATATATATATATATATATATATATATATATATATATATATATATATATATATATATGTATAAACTGAATTTGTGACCTGACTACTAAGCTTTTACTCTTTTACAGTACCTTCTTATTAGCAAGTTTACCTAAAGTATTCCTGTTAGGGAGAAGCACTGTAGATACTCACATATTCTTGTAAAAATTCATGAGACTTAGGAGTTGGTGGGTTTGGAAAATACACTTTACCAGAGGTGTGAACACTTATTTATTTACAGTATTTTTTATTTTTTCAATTTCCAATTTGTTTTTTGATACGAGAGTTTATTCACATGTTATGAATCATATTTATGAAAGGCATAATGAGTTAGTGGGGATGAGGTTCTAACAGTAATTGTTTGTTCCTAATTGGTTAATATAACTACTGTATAGCCTCATTGTTGTTACATTTTAAGACTGCACTGTATATTGGTAGCACTATGATAAGAACTGTCTATTGAAACATTAACAGTACTAGGAATTGTATTTCATCAAAAAGGACATACAGTTCCATGTTTGAGCTTCACACTATTAATATATTGTTTACACTGTGTGGGGCTAGGTTACTGTGGGCCTTAGATCTGGAGAAATCATGGAAATGGTATTGAAGCTTTGTATCCCTAGCTACAGGAGTCAGCTCTGTGGACATAAATCTTGACTCACGTATGGATGAAGAGAACTTTTTTTTTTTTACCAGCCTGCACTGATGCAGATACTTTTATTGATCAGATATTGATAATAGTACTTGTTCCCCGATACTATAGTTAATGAAAGCAGACTCTGATTTCCCATCTTCGCCATTTCCAAAAGGGTACTTAACTTTGTGCTATGCTAAGGTATTTGGGTAGGTTTTACTTGTTGGAAAACCTCGATGGAAGTCAGTCTACGCAGCAATTGTAATATAGTTTCTAGGTCTGATGTCAGACAAGAGTTTTATTCCTCACCAATGACCCCTAGATTGTTTATAGAATAATGTTGATAATTAAATTTATATTGATGATGTAGCACATTTGCTGAAGGTGAAGGAAGATTTAAATCAGAAAGTGGAAATGCTTTGTTGATGTGCAAACTTTTGAATTTTTTATGACCATTTCAAAGCAAGATATTCATCGGTTGCATTTATAAATTTTTGGGAATACTGTAATTGTAAAATTTGTCAGATGCTGTTCAAGTTATGTATTGAAACTGGGTGCATTATAATGATGTGATAACGATGAGTTTTACCTGAAAAAGGTTACCTCTAAAGGAAGCTCTTAATTATTCTGTACAGTGATATCTTCTTTAGCCGGAACAATTGGTGCAGAGCACTTCCGGGAATGAGAGATTTCTGGGTAACGAGACAACTCTCTCAAAGCCGGAAAAAATCCCTCCTCCCCGGAATTATCCGAGTAACGGAAAAATGTTCTCGGAAGATCCAGAAATTGCCCATTACAGTGCATCCTCATATAACGTCGTCCCGCTTAACGTTGTTTTGGTACTACGTCGCTAGACTTTAAGAGACCAAAAATTCGTTTAACGTCCCAGGGCTCCGATACTCCGTCTTTTGTGTCGTCATTGACTACTTTCTGTGGCGCATCATCCGCTCCTGTCTGGCCGCACTACTCTCTCTCTCTCTCTCTCTCTCTCTCTCTCTCTCTCTCTCGGCTCGGCACGCTGCCCTCACTCGTGGAACGTCACAGCAGCCCCAAGTAACGCCAAGACAGTCTCTGTTCGACTTCACATCATGTGTGTGCTTAAGTGCCATTGCTTTAAAACTGTACTATAGTATAACCATTCGAAATGGCTTCCAAGCGGCCATCAAGTGCTACTGATGCTAGTGTAGTGAAGAGGCAACATAAGACCATTACCCTTTCTACGAAAATGAATGTATTAACCCGATTTGAAAAAGGGGAACGTGCTGTAGACATAGCCGCTGTGCTTGGTCTAACCCCTACAACGGTGCGTACTATCCGGATCAATGCTGACAAGATTAAGGTTAGCACAGGAAGTGGTAC